CAAATATACTTACAACGCTCTCTGCAAAAACTATTATAGGTACAATTGTCATTTGTATGAGTAGCGATAGATACATTTGATTTCTAGTCCGCATCACGGCATTCTCCTATGTTTACGAGACTGTTTACTGTTTGAACTCTGCCGGACTGTCGAATGCCAACTGATTACTAATGACTCCTTGTTATTTACCCGGTAATGTTTAACCTGTTTCCATACTCATTATTTGGACGTGACGCGCGTGAATGAAACTATATGGCGTTCTTATTAACAATGGCAAACGACTTTCTAACAGTTTAATAGTGTACATAAACATTTCCTGGGTCACCGGTCAATTAACGCAACTGCCGCCTCCACGGCTGAAATCAATGGTTGGCGCGTTGCTGTGCATTTTCTGCGTTCAGGTTGAATAATTATAGTAGGTAATTGTCGAAAAATGTGGGGGACGGGGACGAGAAACATCGTATAACAGAGTGTCGGTCGCGGTGTTGCTAAGTGACATCACAGAGCGTGGATATGCTGATCCGTTGTGCCCCGCAATCACATTCTACAAATAGGGTATTGTGCGCGAATGCGCGGCACCTCACCAGAGCCATTCCATGAGCGATCACTGTTAGAACCCATTTTGCAATCGCACCGTGCGTGCCGTTGTGGTGTAACTATTTTTTAGATTGACAATTCGAACGGGGTAAGTGTTAACTGTATGATTTTGTTATTGACTAGTTATAACATATAGTGATGGAGTAAAAGAATCACGAAGCCATCTCGTGAGATGCAATGAAAGAATGGCTGGATGGATCGATGGCTGGATGGATCGATGGATGGATGGATGGATGGATGGATGGATGGATGGATGGATAGGATGGATGGATGGATGGATGGATATGGATGATGGATGGATGAATTTGGGATGGGGGGGGATGAGGTATGGTGATGGAATGGCATTGATGGTGGGATCGGATGGATGGGGTAGGTATGATGGATGGATGGATGATGTATGGATGGATGGCATGGATGATGCATGGCAATGGATGGATGGATGATCGACATTGGATCCGATGGACGATGGAATAGTCATGGATGGCATGGCATGCGATGGTATGGCATGAATGGATGGATGGATGCAGGATGAATGGAGCGACATGGATGGAATGGAGATGGATGGATGGATGGCATGGGATGCGATGGATGGTCTCATGATTGGATGGATGATTGGAATGCGATGGATGGATGGTGGATGGCTATGGATGGAATGGAGGATGGTGTGGATGGATGGATGGATGGCATGGATGGATGATGGATGGCATGGCTGGCATGGTCATGTGTATGGAATGGCATGGATGGATGGATGGATGGATGGGTGGGTGAATGGGCGGATATTAGGAGGTAACTAGCTTTTATAACAGATATGATTACATATCGCTAACGTAAATTATAGATTACGTTTAATCATGCAACGGTGATAAAACTCCCAATACATGGACGTGTTACAGCTACTATATAGTAGGTTATATGCGTAATAACCTTTCAATTCGGTTTCTCATTTAATTTGCTATTATCTAGTCAAGAATTGTCTTAACAAACATTTCATCCTACATTTCGGATCAATTCGAGCCAATGTTATTTTATTCAATTTAAGTAATACTAATAGAAGTATATGAATTCTGTTTATTGGCATTTGAAAATATTTCTGACGTATGATTATGACCTGTGACCTCCAATTTTGGCACAGTGATGGCTTTTCCCACCATGACGCTATATATCATCGATTATCAAGAGCATAGGTCGATCAAGCCGTTTCGATTTGTACCACAATTCCTCATATCCCCGCTATACCTTAAGTTAAAGACGGATCTTCCCCCTTCCTTTAAACATCCTAACCTTTGACTCTTGATCCCCAGATTCGAGATCCCAATATGTTTTCGGATTATTCCCCCCCCCTACATCCCGAATTTCGAAAACGTACGTCAAGCCGTTTAGATTTGTGCCCAACTGTTGACGGACAGACCGACGGACGGACGGACGCTCATGTCCTTGTACAAGCTCCATCTGACTGTGTCAGATGAGCTAAAAATGAACGTACAGGACATCTTTCAAGAATTGCTATCATTATATCGGGAGTGAATAATAGAGATCTCTATGGAGTGGATCTCTATTATCCACTCCTGATTATATGAACGCGACGAAGTGTAATGGGTGTGCCTGTAATACTCACATAAGAAGCTAGGTTATAGTCTAAGAATCTCAACACTACGAGCGCAGTAATGGCAAAATTAGATCTTTAGTCAGGGATTAACGCTAGCCTTATAATGTATGTGTAGAATTCTGATTCAGAGTTTACCGGGATATTATTTGTATTATATATAACCATGAATGTTTTTCGTAGTAGAATGATAGGGTATATAGAAATATGTTTTGACCGAATTTTCAGTTCTATTCATCGTGTCGTATGAATTCTCAAGGTTGGTCGATGGTGTGAAGAACGTGTTTCATTTACATCGGTAGTCACGTATGAAGTGGGTCAGCCCCTGCATGGCAGCGTGACGCATAAAAACCTGCTCACATGCAGGTTTTTAGGTAATTACGGATAAATAAAAGCGAATAATTGCTACCTATTTTTATACTATTCGTGACAATGCGAAAGGTCATAGTTACACTTCCATCGTGGCTTAGTTGCGCTGTTGGCTGTTTACTACATAACTTCCGTATCTAACAATGCGCTAATTTTGTTAGCACGCAGATGCATGCTCATGTAATGCGTAATTTCTCTTCTTTCTCTGTAACTCGTGTGTTACGCAGTAAATAGATTATAATGAGTAATTTAGTAAGACACAGAATTATTTAGCACATCTTTAATTGGCTTAAGCCAATTAAAGGTTTTAGCCAAAGGTTTATTATTTACAGTTTAATCTATCTGTACACGTGTTATTTTCCTGCACTCACCCGTTCCTTCAACTCTCGTTCCACGACTGCCATGCAACCCATGTACTCACGATATGATACCTAAAATACTCACGATATGATACCTAAAATACTCACAATGATGGACGCGTATCAGTCAACATCTATACGACAATTACACTTCCCGTGCTATAAGTATTAGAGGTGCTAATAAGTGCTATAAGTGCTAATAAGGTACTATAAGTGCTAAAGGTGAAACAAATAATATTGTACACTTCTGAATCGAAGATACCGCAACTCACCTGTTTTATTCCTATACCAACATTGCCCAGACAACGCGTGCAATATTATTGCTGCTACTAACAAATGCTATTACACTAAGCTAATCTATTCCTCTATATCTATATACTTATATTCAATGTAAATTTATTCTATTTTAATTCATCATTCATCAGAACGTTTCATTGTTTTTCACATAATGTTGTTTTTATACTTTTGGTCTTTGCGCGTATAGCGTAAGCTAGTTCGTAAAAAAAGTAGGAAAGGGAAGCTATAGCTATAGGTTATACCAAGAGCATATAAAGAAGCTTCTTTATATGCTCTTGGTTATATCTATTTACGTAGGTACGTTACGTTATACATACTTTACGTATGTGTACGTACGTGTAGGCTACGTGTACATGTACGTATATATATATATGTTGAGGCCCTGCTTCTTGTTTGCAAAATTATATAAATTCTTTTCGGCAGCCACGCTTTCAAATTTCCTGATTGTCATCGGTGTTCGAGGAAGTATATATTCACGTTTATATACCTTTCTGCGCCAGTGAGCGTAACGAAAGCACTCCCATGTTTCCGAGCGGTCCACAGCGTTGGAGACAGTAGGCCTACGCTATTGACAGTGAGCTGCGGCGTAAGGGTTTTTCCGGCGCTTTTCAGGGTAAACGAGAACGGAATGGCTCTGAGATGGCGACAGGTTGATCAAATTAATCGTCTCCGGACGGCTTCCGGTTTATGTTTTGATGCGTGGTATACCGCCGTGACGCCGTCGCGGTTGTCCAGCTTCGCGCTGCATTGACAGTCGAGTAGGCGTCCACAAACGCATCTGTCTGACGGTATAGCCAAAACAACCCTCTGATGAAATGGCGCCGATAGACACATGGATTATTCTCTGAGTTAGCGTTGTTTCTGGCCTACTTGCAAAGCATGGCTGCGAGCCGACACGCAAGAGCGTTACTAACATGATTGTGTCTCATCATTCAATACGTGTGTATTTACCTGCATGGCGAAACCTTTTAACCTCAAAAGCAATTACCTGTGTTGCTCTGCGTGCAGCCTTCGTGAAACAGCACATCTTTTGTGTTTCGCGTAAAAAATAAGAAAACTCGATTATATATAACGGGTGGATAGAAATACAGACCGCGTTTTACAGTTTCCATACAGTCGTTCCCCGAGCGGTTGACGTGAAACCACTGACGATTTAAGAATGCTGCATGACATTGAACGCACGCACGCATGCCCGTCTGCACTCATTTTGGTATGCTATGCCGAGCTACCATTAGAGTTACGACATAAATAAATGCATAAAACGGTAGCGATGTATGCTCTTACTAACATGTGAATTTATTGAATTTGTTTACCTGTCTATGAGAGGTTGTAATCGGTGCGCGAGATCGTCAGGTGGTTGCAGTCGCGCACCTGTTCTTATACGAGTTCATCAATTAATGCACTGGGGTATGCACTGTAATCAATTAATTACCCCAATAATTAATCAGTGGACTATCGCGACCTAATACATGCATGGATAAATCTTTAACCAGACAGGCGTAAAGGTATCCACGTATAAACGTCGATACTTGTGGTTTGGTGTAATTTGTCAAATTTAGACGAGACAAACGAATCTTCTATGAATGGGTTCATATAATTTTAACAGATGTGCAAAACACACCGCAACATATAGGTAGAGCGAGAGAGTGTAACACAAACGGGATACGTGGTGTGAATCTACAGGAATGTCTGCGTGGATGCTAAGGCTTTCTTGGCGACCTTAATCACATAACGGAATTATCCGCAAAGCTCGCTCTCGTTTATTTCCAGAAAAAACAAGCGAGAGCTCGTGTCTCAATCACAATGTTGGCGACAGTGGCGCTTTTGTGTATGGTAAGTATGCTGTCCACATCAATCAGAGAGCTTCAACACTGTGGATCAAAATCTGACGCGAATTGCAAATATTTACAGTGCTTCACCTACAATAAACGTTTTTCCTATAGCCATTCATCTTATTCTAAGATGTAGTCGCCTCACAATATCTTATTCTACGTTTTTACGTTCTATATTGAAATGGTATATATATATTAATATTAATCAATTTATTTATTTATTTGTTTGTTTATTAATATGCTATTAAATGTGAAACAGCTCGTCGCATCAGCACGAACCATAAACTACAGCTACGCTACTCCTGCTTACGGCGTGGACACGTATGAGTACTCGGGACCAGTGCCTACAACAAGATACGACGGCCACGGTGGCGACAGGGAGCCGAGCTACAGCACGAAGACCTCACGGAAAGAAAGCCGTTCTACCTACCCATCGGCGCTCAGTGGCAGCAGGTATAGCTTGGAGCCAAGCTACGTAACAGAGCGTACTATCTACCCGTCCGGTGACAGTAGTTACCTCGATAGGCCTGTTTACGCTGAGGAACCGCGCGACTACGGGACGCGGCGGACAGCCGACCGCATCACCGTCGGACACGCGACGGAACTCCATGGTTACGACGCGCCCGCCAGCAATAACCTAACGCCAGATACGCGCGGCCCTAACAGCCGCCGTTATGACGATGCACACCCGCTACGCTCGCGTGAGTCAACGCGTGCCGGCGACGAGCGGACCGCATACAGCGAGTACAAAAGGAGTGAATCGGATGGACGTCCTAGCGCTTATGCGAAGCTCGAACCGTATTCTCATCCCAACGCGCATGAATTAGGACCTGGGCGCGAGCCCTATACATCCCGCGGGGTAGCGGTAGAAATTCAGGATGGGCGTTCTTTAAACGGAAGGCAGAGAGATGGCTACGGACGCAGACCTTCATCACCTGCTGCACCCCGTCATGATGATAACATTAGACCGAGCTACAAAAATTCGAACAGCGAATACCCGAAAAATCGGCACGTATCTTCTGAGTCCAGTATAAAGAGTCGTGCTTTGGGTGTACGGGCGAACGATTTCGATACGCTACTCCCTGGCCATAGACCGAACCAGAGGGCAAATGACAATGAATATGATATTGGTAGAAACAGAAACATATTTAGTTCAATGAGAATCGAAGTTGATGACCCCATAACACGAAGTGGATACGCACAAGATATACGTTCCGACCACGTCGCTGACTATGGACCGGCCCGAGACAGCTACGATAGCCGTCTGTCTGGACACGGAAACGAGGATATCTACAGAACTGATACAAGAACCTATGCTGCGAATAAAGAATCTAGGAAACCATACGGGTCTTCTTCTGAACCTGCATTTAAATTCCCCCATTCTGGAACGTACGATAACTACTTCGGTTCTAGGTCGAAAGATTACGGAGGACCATCGGTCACCACCTACTCTGAGAAAGTGGAAAAGAAGCAGCCTGTGGCATACAACGCCATCAGGGATAGTAGGCGGGAGGCGGACGACGACTATGGCGTCGGTGCATCCTATGTGAGGCCGCTAGTGTTGCCGTCAGCTCGCGGAACATTTAGCGCACATCGCAGCAGCGGGGATCTGGCCCGATCGTACTTCTACCGACCCAGCTACGGTGCATTCCGCGCTTAGAATGATGCATCATACGCCATCTTGCGGCTGACCCTAAGGTCGCTCACATGATGACTTAGCATGCATCATACGCCATCTACCGGCAGACCCTGAGGTCGCTCACATGATGGCTTAGAATGCATCATACGCCATCTACCGGCAGACCATGAGGTCGCTCACATGATGGTTGCTATGTAAATCAACGGCCTTGTAGTCTTCGGTGCCCCACCCCACACTACACAGACAATTGTTACGTAATGCCAAGATGAGCCGAACTGTATCAGAGTAGAACAGGTAGTTAGTAATATGAGTGGGAATGTTGATAATGTTGGTTAGTTATTAGAATGCAACTGTTGCTATAGCACATATTTATAACGATGGAGAATGCCAAGGAATAAAGCGGCGTAGTTGATAAGGCAAACAACATAATAACATAATAACAAAATTTGGTTAGTGAGACAATCTTTTTACGCGGAGCAATCGAAAACGTAGATATGTCATGATAAAAAGATTGACAATGCAATGAAGAACGTCATCAAGCGCATGGAGACACTTAATATAATGGGAAGAAGAAGGGTAGGGGGCAGTTGTCGGATAATCACAAGTAGTCATGAGCCGAAAATATTATGGCTTGTAAAGTGACGTGTCATGCACGATAGTCACAACTATTTATGATGTCTCTGACAACAGCTCTTAGAAATCGGGGGGGGGGGGCGGCGTTGTTAGATATTTAATAAGGTTATGACAAAATATATGACATTTTGGTGTTATGGAACCGTGTGACAATGGCTCCTTGCTCTCTTCAGTGCATATGTAACTATCACTACATGTACATACATTGACACAAAGAGCTGTGCCTATGGTGTCAGTCAGATCAACTGTCGATCTAAGGGTTTGGTTACTGCTTTAAGTAGAAGATATCGCTCAGATGGTTCTATAAAGCGATTTGACAGTTGTATGACTCATTCTCCTGCACTACGGTAGTATATCTCATAAATCTCTAATCACATTTGTTATTCTCATAAACTTGTATTGTTGCTGTTTGAAATTTATATTAATTACTAATATTTACTGGTTATATTGATATTAGATTGAACGACGATGCTGAATTAACAGGTTTTATACAATGGTCGTCCTACTGTTAAATAATTTTTTTTACAATGAGCTGTTGATAATTTAGTTTGTTACGATGAGGTTGAACCGCACTATTCTTCACTTCCTCAATACGTCAATCATTAATCATCCTAAATACGGAAGAGGTTTATATAATGGATTTATATGGTCTATATTATAGATATAATAGATCCTTGTAGGTTCATTAGTCCATAAATATTTTGCTTGACTCGTTCAACCAAGTTTTCAGCGTCATTCTATAGATGACCATAATGCAGATACGATCCGAAGTTTTACCTCACAAAGGCAGCATTGATACGCAATACAGACAAGATAGTTTCATTAAATATAACTCTTCAGCGAAGTGTTGCTGGTAATATGACACAGAGCTGACTCACCGCCATTGCTTTCAACGTAAGCTAGGGTGCAGAAACGAGCGTACGTGCTGTTTCGATTGTTTCAGCCGGGGAGATGATCGACGGTCGATGTAGATGTCAGTTTGAATAGTTAGTTTACTATAAGCGCGATGAATGTGGTTGCCGCGACCTTCGGAGAGTTTCGCACGCTCGAATCACAATATCGAATCTACATGCCACCCAGGGCATTTTGGTACTCTGTTCATTCTAAAAGAAATTCCCTTCACCCGCGACCATGCATAGGCATTGAAAATTGTATACAAGAAAATGTGTAAATAATTTGCATAATTTAACAGGGCTGAGCCGCGGAGCATAATCGCAATGCATCAGGCCTGTGCTTATCACAACGAGGCTGCCTGTTGAATAACAATTTTTTTTTTAAGAATAAAATTGTGTAACATGCCTGCATGCAGATTCCGTTGGATTTTATTAAACTTCCGAAAATACTGCGATACACTGTCACTGATATACTGTCGCCTAGAGCTATTGTCGTTCAATATGTCCGTTGAATGTGTATGAAACGGTCACATAACCTTTGCCAAGCTTTATATAAACCACAAAACCGTAAAGCTATATAAATTAACAATCACCCGACGCTCTGCAGGGTTACGCAACCGGGGCTAGGAAAATCAAAACCTCCTAGACTTGGTCTAATGCCAGCTAGCGTCATGCTCGTAACGCAATTTCTCCACGCACGCAAAACGTACACGGTCTGTTGACTAATTTAGCCGATCGTAAAAATAAACGTGGACAGAATGTCACCTAAAACCAACACGTGATTCGTAGGCGCGTGACTAGCCTAAAATACGATAGTTTGCCATGAAATCAAACGATTTTTCTTCAACAATAAGAGTCGCAGCTCATTGAAAGGCAGCGCTCGTATCGGAACAGCAAGAGTACGTATCACTCATCATTGTAACCCCCCTCCCAACATCACTCGATCACTATCGTAACCCTCTTCCCAACATCACTCACCATCGTAACCCCCCTTCCAACATCACCTCATCATCGTACCCCCCTACCAAACACAACCCAATATAGTAAAAACCGACCCACCAACATTCACTCAATAATCAACGTAAATTCGCCTCTCAACATTATTCACTATAGTAACCCCTTCCAACATTACCCACTTATAGTAAACCCTCCCGAAGCATCACCCACTATACGTAACCCTACCAAACATCACCCACTATAGTAACCCCTTACCAACTCACCACATATATCAGTAACCCCTCCAAACAATCACCCACTAGAGTAACCCCTCCCAACATCACCCCACTATAGTAACACTTCCCACATCACCCGCTTATGTAAACCCCCCTCTCCCAACAACTCACCCGCTATAGTAACCCCTCCCACACACCCACTATTAGTAATCCCTACCAAAAGCATCACCCACTAGAGTAACCCCCTCCAACATCACCCACTATGTAACCCCCCTCCCAACATCACCCGCTTAGATAAACCCGTCTCCCAAACATTACCCGCTATATGTAACCCCTCCCAAATTCAACCCACTTAGTTAACCACCCTCCCAACATTACCTCCTATAGTAAACCCTCCCCAACATCACCGCTATAGTACCCCTCCAACCATCTACCGCGACTTATAGTAACCTCCTCCCAACAGTCACCGCCTATAGTACCCCTCCCATACATTACCCGCTATGAGTAACCCCCTCCCAACATCACCCGCTTATAGTACCCCCTCCCAACATCACCCACTATAGTACCCCCTCCTCAACATCACCGCCACTATAGTTACCCCCTCCCAACATCACCCGCTATTAGTTAACCCCCCTCCCAACATCACCCACTATAGTAACCCCCTCCCAACTATCACCCACCTATAGTAACCCCCTCCAACATCACCCGCTATAGTAACCTCCCAACTATCAGCCGCATATAGTAAACCCTTTCCAGACATTACCCATGTATTAGTAACCATCTCCCGAAATCATAACCCACCTTGTAACCCCGCTCCACAAACATCACTCCGCTATAGTACCCCCTCCCAAATCCCCGCGTATAGTAACCCCCATCCCAACTCACCCACTATTAGTAACCCCCCTCCAACATCACCCACATAGTACCCTCCCTTCCCAACATCCCCCACTCATTAGAACCCCCCTCCCAACATCACCCAGCTATAGTAACCCTTCTCAACATCACCCTGCTATAGTAAACCCCTCCCAACAATTCACCCGCTATAGTAACCCCTCTCCCAACATCACCGCTTTATAAGTAACCCCTCCACATCAACCCGCTTATAAGTAACCTCCTCCCACATTACCCGCTTATAGTAACCCCCCTCCCAACATTACCGCTATAGTAACCCACCTCCCAGACAGTTACCGGCTATAGTAAACCAACCCTCCCAACATCACCCACTATAGTAACCCCCTCCCAAATCACCCACCTATAGTAAACCGCCTCCCAACATCACCGCTATAGTTAACCGGCCTCCCAACATTACCCGCTATAGTAACCCCCTCAACACTCACGCCACTATTAGTAACCCCCTCCCAACATTAACCACACATACATCAGAGTCAACACTCTCCCAACATCAACCCGCTATCAGTAAACCCCTCCTAACCATCTACCCGTATAGTAACACCTCTCCCAACATTACCACATAGTAACCCTCCCCAACCATCACCCACTATTAGATAACCCCTCCCTCCCACATTACCCGCTATAGTAACCCCCTCAACATCACCCGCATATAGTAACCCCTCCAAGCATCACCCGCTATTAGTAACCCCTCCCAACATCACCCTACTAGTAACCCACTTCTCCCACATTGGCAGCGGCGCCCGGCGCTATAGGTAAACCCCCTCCCAACATTCCACCCGCTATAGTAACCCTCTCCAACACACGCATATGTAACCCCCCCTCCCAACATTACCCGCCTATATAGTAACCCTCCCAACATCACACAATAATAGTAACCCCCCCCCACACATCACCCACTATAGTAATAACACTTACTCCTCCCAACATCAACCGCTTATAGTAACCCCCTCCCAACATTACCCGTATAGTACCCCCACTCCTCACACAATCACGCCGCTATAGTAACCCCCCTCCCACACATTACCCACTATAGTAACCCCCTCCCAAACATCACCCGCTATGTAAACCCCCTCCCCAACATTACCCACTATTAGTAACCCCTCTCCCAACAATCATCACCTATAGTAACCTTCCCTTCCAACATCCCCTTATAGTAACCCCCTCCCACATCACCCGCCTATATAGTAAACCGCTTCCCAACATCACCCGCTATAAGAACCACTCTTCCCAACATCACTCAACTATAGTAACACCCTCAACATCACCCGCTATAGGTAACCCTTCCGTAACCATTACACGTATAGAACCCTCCCAACACTCACACCGCGTATGTAAGCCCCTCCCAACATCACCCACTATAGTAACCCCCCCCCCAACATCACCCACCTATAGTAACCCCTCCCAACATGCACTCACCTATAAGATAACCCTTCCGCAACATCACCCGGCTAATACGTAACCCCCTCCAACATTCACCGTATAGTAACCCCCCTCCCAACATCACCCAGCTATAGTTAACCCTCCCAACATCCCCGTATGAGTAACCACCCCTCCAACATTAACCCGCCTATAGTAAACCCTTCTCCCAACATCACCCACTATAGTAAACCCCCTCCAAACATTCACCCACTATAGTAACCCCCTCCAACATTACCACTATAGTTAACCGCTCTCCAAATCACCCCGCTATTAGTAAACCCCCCTCCCAACATGCACCGCTATAGTAACCCTCCTTCCCAAGCAATTACCGCTACTTAGTAACCCTCTTCCCAACAATCACCCACTTATAGTAACCCCCCTCCCACATCACCCACTATAGTAACCCCCCTCCAACATCACCCACTATCAGTAAACCCCCCCGCCTCCAACATCACCACTATAGTAACCACCTCCCAACATCACCCGCGTATAGTAACCCCCTCACCAACATTACGCGCTATAGTTAACCACCTCCCAACATCACCCGCATATGTCACCCCCTCCCAACCATTACCCACTATAGTAACACCTCCAACATCACCCGCTATAGTAACCCTCCCAACAGTTACCCTAGAGGCGCGCTTATAGGTAACCCCCCCCCAACACATTATTACCCGCTATAGTTAACCCCCCCACATTACCCGCTATAGGTAACACCCTCCCAACATCACCCACTATCAGTAACCCCCTCCCAAACCATCACCCACCTATAGTCTAACCCCATTACCAACAATTCACCCACTATAAGATAACACCTTCCCAACATTAACCTCACTATGTACCCCTCCAACATCTCAACCCGCTATAGTAACCCCTCCCAACACTTACCCAGCTATAGTCAACCCCCACCCCCCAAATTACCGTATAGTAACCCCCCCCACAACATACCCGGCCTATAGTAACACCCTCCCAAAACATCTTTACCCACTATAGTAAACCCCCCTCCCAACATCACACCCACTATAGTAACCCCCTTTTCCAACATCACCGCCCTATAGTAACCCCCTGCCTAACAATTACGCCGCTATAGTACCTTCTCCCACACATCACCCGCTTATAGTAACCTCCGCCCAAACATCACCCGCTATAGTAACCCTCCCAAACTCACCCGACTATAGTACCCCCCCCTCCAACATTACCCAACTAATAGTAACCCCCTACCCACATCAACTCGCTTAGTAACCCCCCTCCCCAACAGATTAACCCGCTATAGTACACCCCCCCCCCAACATTACCCGCATTATAGTAACACGTACCAACTTACCCACTATACGTAACCCACCCTTACCAAACATCACCCGGGCTATTAGTAACCCCTCCCAACCATTCCGCCTATCAGTAACCCCCCCCACAACATCGACCACCACTATTATAGTACCCCCCCCCACCCCCCAACATTACCGCTATATAGTAAACACCCTCCCCCAACATCACCCACTGTTAGTAACCCCCTCCAACCAATCACCCACCCTACTTAGCTAAACCCTCCCAACATCTCCGGCTATAGTAACCCACCGTGCACGCAACATCACTACCCACTATAGATAACCCCCCTCCAACATCACCGCTATTAGTAACCCCCTCACCACACATTACCCGCTATGTAACCCCTCCCAACATCACCCGCACTATAGTAACCACCCTCCCAACACTTACCCGCATAATAGTAACCCCCGCCCCCCCAACATTACCCGCTATAGTACCGCCTCCAACATTAACCCGCTATAGGTAAACCCCCCCCAACCATTACCCGGTTATAGTAACACCTCCCAATCTTCC